TCCTGCTGAGAAGATGCAACATAATCCTCTTTCCAACACTGCAATTCCTGACGAAGAACAACATACTACAGCTACAGATTCAGTCGTGTTTATACCACCACAGCTACAAATACAGTCATGCTTATATCACCCACTGTTATTGAATAATACTCATTTACATGCTAAGACACACGAGAGTGCTATTTTAATTCAATAAAAGATCAACTGGTAGGATCATGATGAACAAGAGCCTACACATGTTCGACCAACTTTGGAATCTATTGGTCAAATGAGTCAATCATCATCGGATGAGGAATGGCAGGTCTATTCCAGGAGGAAAAAAAAAGAATGAAGGCCGAATCGAGCTCGAGAACTTATTGGATGATACATTGGTTACTACTGGGAATGGCACACATCTTACCAATTTATTAATTGGCTCCTTCCCTAGAACTAGAGGCAGAGGCAAGGCCAAATTGGGTCGCTCTCTAGCTACCTAATACTACGTATTTAGACACTTTTAGGCTTTTTCTTTACGTCTCTCATGTACTTCTCTGTATTTTCTCATTTTGGAACCATTTTTGTTTATCGTGTGGGAAATGTGTCATGCTTGAGCTCTCCCACACATTGTATATGTATCATTCTTTATATTTAATATATTAGTCTTTGGGCTTTCTATAAATATATATATATATATATAAAATACAATATGATGTGTCGTCGTCTCCGCTCTGTTAGGGTTTCGCCTCATGGCGAACCCTTGTGTGTTCTACGATATTTCTCGCGTCGTACTCTGATGTCCTCAACTTCACATTCGTCGTCATTTTCGTTTGGTTAAAGAGCTCTCGTCGTCTTCTTCTATCGTAGTGATTTCATCGGGTTGCGTCGTCTGGCTCGTCTTCTGCGGTGCTTCGTTGCAGGCTGAAGGGTGTCCGACTGACCCAGCTCAACAGCTCGCATTATTTCTGCTCGAGTTGAATTCACAGGGGTCCTCGCGTCGTCCGCTTCTGTCGTCTGGCTGCGCCATGTCTGACCCACGTTTGCGTCCTTTCTGCTCGAGCTAAATTCACAGAGCTTTCTCAAAGGGGTTTCCGCTCATGCTCCGTGTTTTCTGGATTCAGCCTTTGCTCTTTGTTTTGCTTTCTTCACTATTTTTAACGTCGCATCTCCATATATTGACGATGGCTTCAAACATATCGTATGTAGCCCTTGCGGGTGTCCACGCCTCAGGTACACCTAAATCGTGTTCTTTCCCTCCTTCATTTGAGTGTGCAGAGGATATCAAGAAATCTGATAGGAAGAATGAGAAGTCTGCTATCTCTTTTACAGAAGGTGAAGGTATTCAACTTGCTTCCTCCAGTCTACTGAATTTAGTAAGGAAATTTTTATATGGTCATCACAAAATGGAGCTGATTCGTAAGGAACTTGAGTTTATGCACCTAGTTGGGGAGTAGAAAATTAGACTGTAAGATGGAAGACACATTTTCACACAAATTAATAATGAAGAGGATTATAAGTGTTTACTTGCTAGAAGGATAATCTGGATTGATAACAGAGCAATAAAAATTTTGAAATGGTCTATGA